TTTCAGAAGTGACACAGCTGTCTTTGTGCCTGAGGTAGGACTAGAACTCATAGTCTCCCAATTTCTAGCCTGGTGACTTAATCACTATACCAAACTGCCTCTCTCTATACAGAATGGCATCACATGTAGATGATACATAACTCATCAATACCTGGCTAACCCATGAAGCATGTGCTCCAATGTAAATGCTATACTTTTAACATAGATATGTATTATTCTAAAGGAAATTATAACTAACAAGCAGCCATATAGCACAATGCATAACAATATTTTAAACTGACCAGCCTCTTGGTCAGTTTAATAATAGGATTCATTTCTGATGTTTGATCAACGTGACATGAAACTCTTAAAGACCTACTTCTGAGACATACATTACAAACAAGTTCCTTTCTCATGTTAAACATTAAATACATCTTGCCAAGGGCATATAAAATTTTAGTCATCACTGGTACCTTACCCCTTAATTGTAGTCTATCATTAAAAACACCTTTCTGTCTTGTCTAAAGATGTTATGTTCCACATAGTAGTATTGTTCAAAACAATGTATGCCAGAGGGGTTTCCTTAGAATACAAATGTGTTCTCTCAATTACCAGAATCTTACACAAGTGTTTTTTCCAAATTGGCTCATCCTTTTAACTCCTGATGCCAGTTAAATCTGGGATTTGTCATAGAAAAAAACATACATTCTTCTCCTTTTTCACAACAATTCTCCCACCCAGTTTTTTTTTTCAATTGAATGAAAGTCATAAAGAATGATAACTACCTTATTCCATATAGTACAGTAAAAACAAAAATATTAAAACTAAGCAGCCATCTACCAAAACAATATAAATACAAATTTACATAATTAATGGAATCAAATTTACACATTGCTTTAGATAAAACAAAATAAAAAATGAGTCTCAAGTTATATGCCAGCTTAAATCTCATATACCTATGAGCTAATATCAATTTATGCCACACATAAAATACCAAATATCATAACAGATACAAATGAAAAGCTGTGTCATTAATGTCAGTTATTCCACACTTTAACAACCACCCAATCCAGTGGTGGTTGAAGTGAAAATGTCATTCTTCTCCAAACCGGTGTATGCAACTCCCAGATTTCTTAGCCAGCAGATATGGAGAACACCAAGACAAAGGCTATTTTAGGCATTATCCTTCTCTTGCATATCTACCATATTTTGCAGACTATAAAGAGCACCGGTGTATAAGATGCACCAAGATTTCAAAGAGGTAAGGAAGAAAAAAAGCTTTTGTCCTCTGCAGCCCCCAGGAAAACTCTGCAGGCTTCAGCAGGGCTGAGGGAAGGCAAAAATGCCCCAGTTTTTGCAAAAATAGGTGGAAAACTGCAATTTTTTCGCAAAAACAGAGGCGTTTTTGCCTTCCCCCCATCCCTGCTGAAGCCTGCAGAATGCTTCTGGAGGAAGGCAAAAACACTTCCGTTTTTGCAAAAAAACGGCCCGTTTTTCTCAAAAGCTCGATTGGGCTTATTATCTGGGGAGGTCTTATTTTGGGGGAAACAGGGCAATTTGAGGACTACCTATATATTTATCCTTTCAAGGTAAATTAGGCACGAGGAGTCTATAGTCATTCAAAATAAGCAACAATATTGGTAATCCATTTTCTCTAGTATTTAAATGGCATTTGTATATATTTTATTCTCATATGTTTAGTAATAACCAGTTTAAACTGTTCTGCATATAGATTTGAGGAAGTTTTTTTTAAGTTTCCCATGAAAAGGTTTACTTAGGAAAACAAAGGACATTTTATGAAGTAATCTCTTACTTGACTTCCAGACACAAAACGCCATGGTTCTCTAAGGATTGAATACTGAACTTTAAAATATATATCATTTTTTATCCATGCTGTTTAAGTAATCTAGACTCTCCAACAGATTGTTTACTGAATCCTTAATCCTGCAGAATTTTAGTTTCTTGATTATTCTGTAGAGTGGCTCACATTATCCAAAGTATGTCCTTTTTTCTAACGTAACTTATCACCATTATTTAGCTTTCACAATAACAAAAGAGTTGTTATTAACCTGGCAACTATGCCAGCAAAGAGATGGCAAAAAACATTTTAATTCTGTCTGAATATTTGCAAAGGCATTCTGTCGTTTTACATTCAACTCCTTTCTCCACTTTTTATAGCACCACACACAATGCAATGTGAAAACCTTCCAACTGAGGATGATGAGTACTGGCATTTGAATTTTTCCAACATACAAGCAATATCAGCTTTAATAACAGACACAGATGTCACCCTTTATACAGCATGACATCTAGACCAGATTTGCAGGATTATTTTTCAACAACAGTTCAACACTTTTGAAAAGGGGATTTAACCAGGTGAGACCAATTCTTAAAAAAATAAGACTACTGCCACTGAAAACTATACTGGCTAAAAGAAGGAATTAAGATGTATTCCATATTTGTTCTTCATATTTCTAGCAAGAAATCCAATAAAGGGAATAGCAAATTGGCAGATTTTTTCTGTGCTAAGAAAAGATAACAAATATTAAAGTGGAAATCATCTACACAACCTCCTCTCCAACCTTAAGCAAGCACAGGCAAACTGAGAAAATATGTACAAGTATGGAAGGAAATTCTAGGATCAGATATGCACACTTATTTTCTCAACAGAGATAAAATCTAACCATGATCTCAATTCCATGGTACAAATGTTTGCATTAACAGGATCTCCATGTTCCAGATTCTGGCGCAAAGGATGAATTAGCAGATACAATAACAGAAAAGACAGAAATAAGCAATACCCAAATCCTCATATTCTTTCTTTCTACCTATCTACCTATATTTTGGAACTGCTCATCTCCCTCACGGAGGAATTCTAGGTAGTGTACTATGATTGCTTTATGGCTGTATGTTATATAAACCCAGCAGACTATCTCATTCAATGAAGCATAATTTAGTGCAAATGTATGAATTGTAGAATATGAAATACTGCTCTAGATGAAGAAAGAATCTGATGACATGATGTAAGGCAACTGACACCTTGACATTAGAATATTTTTTTTTTTAAAGCATAACTTTCACATAGTTTTTCCGAAGTGAAAGAGCAGGGGTGACAAACTCGATTTCATTGAGGGCTGCATCAGGGTTGTGTTTTACCTCGGAGGGCTGGGGCACCTGTGGCCAGCTCGACATCACTCATGTCAGGGGCACCTGTGGTGGCCAAGTGCTAAGGCAGGACTTCCCTGAGACCCTCACTCACTCCCCATCATAATGGAACCCGCAGAGCCTCCCCTCCCCCTACAAGCTCCATTTTCGCTGGCAGAGGCACCACAGGCCAGTCCTTGGCTGTTTCCAGGCTAGCCCCATGGGCCAGATCTAAACACCCATGGCCCAAAGGCCTTGAGTTTGACATTCCTATACTAGAGGAACCAGTTGCTTCCTTAAATGCATTTGTTAGGATAGGAAAAAGAATTCACAAACTTGATAACAGCTATGAACTATAAATAAAAAATTTACATTCATTTTAGCAGAGGTATTAGTTTAGAATCTCTTAGTACTAAGAATCTCTGTATGCTGTTTAGTAGGTAGTCTTAGACTGACATAAAGTTGCTTGAGATGAGCTTATAGAAGTCGTGTTAATTTTAGTGTATATACATGTACTGATGTAAGATGAATAGGTAAACTGGGTGGTGCAATAATTTCTCTTGTCACTAATACAAAGAAGCAAACTACAAATTCAGCCAAAATTGCTCCAAAGTTTAGTCCAATGACAAAAAGCAACTGGGTTATTTTTAGAGCACAACAGGGCATAAAAATACAGCAGTGAACTGTGACCTACAGCTATGCACATCCAAGCATCACATCATCCAACCGACAGTTTTACTTTAGCTGGGAGCACATCTGGCATGGTTTCAGACTATGATTATTCATATGACTACAGACAATACATTTAGCATCCATGGAAAGCTTCTGAAACTGTCCTCACTGGCTCAAGACAAAGTCTGTATGGAGAGGCAGAAACTCTGAATGGACTTTGTGGAAAGAATTTCAAAGGAATCCATGTTAGAGGGTTCTGGGACCTCTGCTGATAGAAGGAATTAAGTTATTTTAAAAGCGGGGATAATACACTTTTCTTAAGTGAGTAAAATGAGGAATTCTTGCCTCAGACAGAACATACTGGAATAAACAATCACCACATCAAGCAGAACTCATCTATAGTCTTGCTGGTGAAATTGATTATTTTCTACAAGTACAGTAAGTATAAGAATAATTCTAATTTTTTTTAAAAAATTGATGCACTAAAAATATAAATCTCTTAAGAGATACTCCAAATAGCCATACATTTTAGGATTCCATAAAAAGTAACATTTTAATTGCATATATTTGTTAGACTGCTACAAGTCTCTTTGTAGTTTTTGTAATTTAAAAAAAGTTGCAAATATATATAAACTAGTCTTTTCTCTAAAATCTAGATTTTCTCAAACCAGATGTTATTTTATAGATATTATCTACATTTTGAATTGTTTTGTTTTGTTTTGTTTACATTTAGATTACAGAACATGCTATAGTACCCTATAGTATTCTATAGTACAGAATACTATAGTTTAAATTGTCTTTGTTTTTGAAGAGAAATATTCAATTGAAATGGATTTAGCCAGTTCCTTCAAAAGGTGCTGTACAGATTAAATATACCCAAGACAGAACAAAACAGAATAAAGCTAAAGTAGAATATTTTAAGTATCATACTGGTTTCTGGGAGGAATAAAATTGCATTTTGATTGCACTATTACTGACAGCACAATCCTATGCCTGGGTATTCAGAATTAAACTCTACTGAGTCCATTTAAACGTGGATACATTTGCAGTTTAAAACTGACTGGTTATGTGAAAAATGGGTAATGTTACACAATTTAACTATCAAACTTGAGCGAGAAATCCCCTGGTACCAAATTTCCAACTCATCTTTTAACATTGGTATGTGCATGTGTCTTTTTGTTTCTATTTTTTAAATAGTTATCAAAATGCCATTCTTTGGCTGGATGAAATGGCCAAAAAGTTATTCTTACAAAAGTGGACAATACCCTGGCTCGGAAGTTGTGACAAATACACTTCTGAGAGAACTAAAATGGCATTTGAAAGAACGTGAACGGCTGATACAGGAGATTGAAAGTGGACACAAAATTCAAAAACCTGAAAGTGATTACAACGGAATAAGGAGCTACCAAAACCTTCAAATAACTATCCCAGCTACTGAACAACGACAGCTTGAAATTCTTTGCTCTCAAATCCAACCATGTCAAACTGGAATCATACTCAGCAGGTAAACCTATTTTATCTATGTAGTATCACATAAGCTTCGGGAAAGAGGAAAAGGATCCCCATCTTTGCGGCTTCATATTAAATGTTATTCCTACCAAAAAACGGTTTCAAATTAATTCAAAACTAGCATGCTTCAAACTAAAATAATAATTCTTTGGAATGAGTTCAAAGAAACTTACTTTCTGGCAATATAAGCAACCTTATTTATAAGATTTTGTATATTGGTTGTGACATCTCAAAAAACATTGCTAGGATTTCATTTGTTCAATTAAATTGCATGAAATGAAGGAATTTCCAACGTTTGCCCACAAAATGTAATAGAAAAAGAATATGCCTTCAGCTTTAATTTTCAGCCTGGCAAAATAATTAAATGTAACAATTCAGCACCCACTACTTAAATGCTTACTATATATTCACAGCTCTAATATTTAGCGCACTAATTTGTTTGTTCCTTTTGCTAAACATTTCCCTTCAGATTCATCGACTACATTTTTATCCTGTGCCACGTTTTAAAATCTTGCATGGTATGATTTTCATAATAAACTAGAGAACCTGATTCACATTTGTTTTATGCAATTTTGATAAGAATAAGACTCTTTTGATCACAAACCAAATTTCTCTACAATTCTTCAACATTATATATACATATATATACATATCAACCTGCACACATAGCATATGGAATTTAAAACAAAACAAAACCCAGAACAATTCACTGATTTGTCTCTGATCCTAGAAAAGGGCTCCAGGGAAATGTCAGTTTGAATCAACTTGCTTGGACAAATTGGACAAGGAGAAAAGTGCTTCAGCTGTTTGTATTGCAAACATCATTCTTTCCTATTCCGTTTTTTTTTTTTTTAAATTTAAAAAGCATTGCTAAAAAGGGTAGTATATCTTCTCTTCCCCTGCATTTTTAACAGACAAGTTGAATATATGCTAATAGAATTCAGGCTATTTGCCTTTTCTTTTCTCTGCTCTTTCCTTTTCTAGATTTCGAGAGGCTCTAGCAGAAAATGATGTTTTACCCTGGGAAATTGTTTATTTATTCAAACAAGTTTTAAAAGAGTTCCTTACTAATCTTGAGAAAGAAGCTCAGCAAGATCAACTGGCTGATGCTTGGAATACAAATTGTTCCAGCCAATTTGCAGCATCCAACACTAACTCCAGGAAAACGGACAAAGAAGAAATCCCCACTGTATCCAGCTATGTTGACAAAAATACACAAGGCATCCTTCCAACATTCTCCCACAGAATCTGGAATCTTCCCTATTACTACCCATCAAGTTAATTATTTTCTCTTTCGTTAATACTCATTCAGCTTGGCTATAATCATTCTGTAATGATTCAGTACTCTAAAATTATCTTCCCATCCTCATAAAATGCAAATTTAAACTTAATAATAACTACAGCTGGCATAGTCCTTAAATAAATAGGATGGATACTTTATACTAATTAATAGTGCACATTAGGATCCTTCTTATAGCAGATACTTTTTTATGGAGGTTTTATCATTTTTCTTATAGCATTTATCCTGCATGGTTGCAGGGTCCCTTCTTTTTCAGTAATGCACCTAATTATTAGAGCAAAGCTTAACAATGCATGATGCCATGCATTGTGTATCAGCTGTCTCGCAGCCTGATGTTGATGTGGGCTGAGAGGGAATGACTACTCCAAGGTCACCCATCTGACTTCTGGGACTAAGGAAGGACTAGAAGCTGGATATTATTACTCTGAGTCCACCATCTTAACTCGCTATATTGATTGTCTTTAATACCATTTATTTTGCCCATTGTCTCTGGTGAAAGACATTGACAGTTTTCTATCCTGCAATTTGCTTCCACAACGCAATCTTTTCAAAACAAATCTAAAAACTTAAAAGGAGGAAAATAATAATCCATTTTATAAAAGATCCTGTTTTTAATAAACTGGAAACAGATACGCTTTATGGAGGCTTACAACAATAGCACCATATTTTGCCTTTTAAACAAACAAACAGAGTAGTAAAAGATGCCAAAGATACACTAGCATCCAAAGGACACTTTTTTATATTGAAACTTGGGGAAAATGTATGCACATTTTAAGATTTAATCCCAGATTTAAGACAAATATATATTTCTTCCTTTTACAATGGGTACAATGTGCTCTCCACAATTCCCTGGCATGAGACTACATCTGGGATATTGTGGAACAGTGTTTCTCAACCTCGGCAGCTGTGTGTAGATTTCAACTCCCAGAATTCTCCAGCCAGCTAATTGAGGGAGTTGGTCCTCACATCTTAAAAGTTCCCATGGTTGAGAAACACTGCTGTGGAGGATGCAAATAGTAGCCAGACTAATGCTGGTATATTATTTGCTTTAACACAAAAATAGAACCTAAAAGGGAAGGGAATCTGCATGACAGCTTTATTTGCATCCTGGAGAAATTCAGTAAAATTCATTCATATATAGGATGATGTGAAATGACATTCATTCATAGGTTGTAAGAAAATGGCTATATAAGCCAAAATTCCTTTATCTGAAATAGTCTGATAAAAAAGCAGATACATTATGGCTTGCAATCCTTTATTACCAAAAAAGAACTCTTTTCCTTTGCTTAAGATCCACTAGAAAAGATAAATACCCAGAAGCAATACATTGAATTAGATTTTATGCTATAATTTTTTATGAAAAATGAAATCTAGATTTGCAAAGAAATGGGATTTTTTTAAATTGCTAAAATAGTACTTTTTGTACCAAATGATATTAATTTTTTGAAAAATCATGATGTTAGCATGAGAGTGGGAGAGATTTAGATGAGGGTTAAAAATTGAACTAAATGAATGCTTCTGCCAGTGTCACGTCTGGCAGATACAGAATTAGCCTTCACATGGTTAATTTCAAAGAATAATCATCTTTAAAATGTTAAGTCAATGTGTACAACATGCTGAACTAAAAGATGGTTAGTTAATATGTGTTGTATATGCAACAATGTTGATTTGGGAACCGCTAGTTAGACTCTGCACTGAAAGCAATTAAACAATTGTGAAAATTAGGAAGTAGTAGAAAAAGGGGGCTTCAAGGTGTTTTTCTCATTAGCATTCTTTTGCTTCACTGTCTGCAAACAATATTATAAAACTGTGAAGTTAAAGCAACAAAGAAAAATATTGTAAAAACTGGTTAGTACACTGTTTGAATAAATCTCATTTGATCTATGATATTCTTCTTAGTAAACATGCTGACAAATGTATTGTTCTTCAGGACTCAAACCCCAAGTTAGAAACAGACAAGAAAAAAATTATATGATTGAAATATTTTTTTCTGTTTCTCCATAAAGAGTTCCCATTTGTTTTATTCTCAGTTAAAATACTTATTACTCTACAAAAACAATACTGTGATAAACAGGCTAACATTACCTCAGAGGATGTTAAGTAATATAGCTATTCATTTTCAACACTCCCTATAAAGAGACATGAGACTACAACCATGAGTATTTAGAATTTAAAATTCTATAAACACAATTATAGTTCTCATGCGAGAACTATAGCCATACATTAATTTTACATTTGCAGAGCAATATACCAGTGAAAAGAGTTGAGATGAATAGATCAAATCCAAGATCTAGCTAGCACAGGGTTTAATCCCACAATAGACAATTTATTTCTATAGACAGACGGGGATGAACGAATTCTCTAAGAATTACTAGCATGCTATATGGTGCTCATATAATGGTTGAATACACACATTATTGTACTATAAACCCTACTGTGGCTTGGATTTAGTCTGGTGTGTTGTGTACATAACCAATTGTATTTTATTAAATAAAGCATAAGAAAATTGTGACTTATTGCTATATGGTATCTGTGAACACCATCTGTTTTTGGTGAAACTGAAGTTTTGGCAAGCTGAGATTGACACACTTCAGAAATATTTTAAACCCAAACCAAATAGATAAATATGCTGCTTTAAGTTTATATAACCTGGCCAAGTTGAGCCCAATTCAGAAAGAAGCAATTCCCACTCTTATTTCTCTCTGCTTTAAAGAAGAAAACAGCATTACATTATTTGAGGTTCTGACCGTTTTAATAGATTTAGGTTGACTTTTTATAATAATCCTTTTTTTTATACACAAACCATTTTCGGGAGCACAGAGCTTATGTTTTTAGCTGCGTAGTGCTGCTCACTTTACAGAAGCTAGTTGTAATTAAGAAACAAACGCGTTACAGCATCTTCAAACTTAACACATCAATTACACAATTCGCAATTTGAGGTAGGCCACCATCAGACTATTACAGACGGAGAGGTGGGGAGGGGAGGTGTTGTTCTATTTTTAAAAACAAATCGGGCTTAATAATCTTAGTAGAAGTTGTGCAGCGGTGAAATCCATCCTACTGATGAATGGGGGGGGGTATTTATTGATGAAAGGGGCTTAATTTATACCATTCAACAGCAAAGAACCTGGGCAGTTTTGGACCTTTCTAAGCAGTTTATCCTGTGAAACATGAGCTCCATAACTAGTTTGGCTGCAGGTCCCGGCCTACTTACACATTAGCAGCAGGCGGCGGTTCTTCAACAGATTCCACGAGGTGATGAGCAAAGCCAGCAGTCCGGACTTCGCCCCCCAGGAATTCCACCCCACTGACCGCTTTGCCAATTGTAAACCAATCGTTGATCTGATCTACGGTGAGTTTTCGCAACATGGCTCGAACCTAAGAAGCCGCGAAGAAAGAAAAGTATCCCTCAGTTAGGCCAGCCGACCGGCCCGCGCTGAAGTAATTAGCGGGCCCCGCCTGGCTACAGCCACGTGCCTAATTAGACTTCGAGATTCTCCGCTTGTTCAGCGAACCTGCAACTAACCTGCTTGCTTTTTGGTTAGTTCGATTTCGGTTTCCTATTTTGGCATCGTATCACCTACGCACGCTTAAGATGCACTGAAAATAAGCTTTATTTCTGAGAAGGGCGCAGGATTGCGCTTGGAAGCAATTCCGATTTTATTCAGCATAGACTACCGCAGTGTAGACTACCGCAGACTTACAGTGAAAGTACACGCAAATACGGAAAGGTTTTTATGTTGTAATTCATTATTTAACCCAGTTTTCTTTATTATACTGCCGGTAGATGCGCTCAACCATAGACTACGTGGTTAGGTTCGCTCAGCACAGTACTATAACACGGGATGGGCTGCTTGGTGATTTGATGTGTTGTGAATTTACTCAACATAAAGCTAAGTTAGGGTTTCGGGTCTATATCACGTTATGTATGTATGTATGTATGTATGTATGTATGTATGTATGTATGTATGTATGGTGTTATTTATCAGCACAAATGCAACACTGTGTACATACATATACATATACATATATATATATATATATATATGTTTTCTG